AGTGATATGGCTGCAGGCAACAAATGACATGAATCCTAAACCTCAGATCCAGACTAAGTAGTACTGTCACTTATTATGAAAAGCAGAGATATGCTGTGTGTATACTATAGCCATGAGACCAGGCTTAATGACAGTATGCAGTGCAGATGTTTAAGGTTTTCTTTTATTATGCTGTAAAAAGGTATGTACAACTATGCCTACAAAGAGTGCATAAACAGAAATTAAGTTCAGCGAATGAAAGGGCAGTTTTGAAACCACCTCATTATTTCTATACATATTTCATGTCATACTCTTGGATTTCAGTTTCAGAAGACTAAATCCAGTGAGCTGTGGCTCACGAAAGCTCATGCTCAAATAAATTGGTTAGTCTCTAAGGTGCCACAAGTACTCCTTTTCTTTTTGCGAATACAGACTAACACGGCTGTTCCTCTAAATCCACAATGTGATTTTGATTACTATTGTTTAGCATCTTTATTCTAAACCACATTTTAATCCTTTAAGCCTTTTAGCAAAGCAGGATGCATTTAATTATAAGTAATAATGTAAAGTGGCATTCTTCTATTGCATCACACTAACGATAATCCAAGTCCTGTTACATAATAGCCTGTGTTTTCTACAGTTTCTTGTTTACAGCTTAGAGCACAAAGTCAAATTCACAGATGTAAAGTATAATCAGCAAGTATATACCTTCAGAAAGTCTGTCTATAGATATTGGTTCCTCCAGTTAATATCCCAGCTAAGTACATTTTATTGTACTGCTTACTATATAAAAGAGACTTGATATTATTTATAATATCCATATAATAATTGCTTTAGTTGCCATAACCCAATTCCACTGAATAAAACAAACATTCTAAAAGACATTCTACAATCCCATGATACATTTAAAAAGTTCCCATTTTCTTTTATATCTATTAACAGATTTTGTCAGCTACATTTCATGCTGACTCAGTAATGTTATGCATGCAGAAATTGGCTAAAATGATGCAAACTAGCATTGCTAATGCAAACAATTTTTACATAGGCATTGTTTTTTTTTTTCAATTTACAAATCACTGTTGAAGATTAAACCTGAATACTAACTAGGTGCTGTTATCTTGCCATTCATTAAGCAATGTTTTCATCTGCCTTACCAGTTAGATCATTTGGGGGTAGAGGGAGGAAGGATTTTGCCTTGCATTACAACTTAGAGGGGAAGGTTTTCTGGAGCCTGGATCAGAAGCAGAGGACCAGCCACTGAAATGTATTAGGACTGGGTTTGCATTGGTTCTGCTGAGGTAAAGGCTGGAACAAGTGGCCATAGGAGAGGGAGAGAGAGAGAGAGAGAGAGAGTGTGTGTGTGTGCATGTGTGTACATATATATATATATAAAATGATCTGCCATAGATAAGATGCATCAGCATAATCCTGAACCACATTATGATTGGACAAGGACTGCATGATGTTAAAGTGGGGGAAGGGGGGAAGAGAGAGAGAGAGAGTATAACTTTGCCTCGTGTAAAATGAGAGAGGGGATAAAACAGAATTTCTATATAAAAATAAGGTTTGAATATACAACTAGTATCTTTAAACAGAATACAATTTTTGCAGTGTAAATTTAGGCCAGAGATTCCATAATATATGTAGTTTCTATAAAGCCCTGCACTATAATGTAATTCATCAGCATGAAGAAGCATACTTTATAATGAGCCCTCTTCTTGCACTACTGAAATTAATGGGGGGGCTGCCAGTGACAACCAGGCTGGGTCCCACCTAAAGTCAAATGCAGGATGCATACCTAGCACCTTGCAAGACAGAGCTCACCCTGAGAGGTCTAATCCTGCAGTCCTTACTGCAAGTGGATATTTTGCATAACGAAAATCTGGCCCACATGTACCGTCATCCAGATCCACGTACAGTGTGGTTTGAATTTTGCCTTGACTTACACCCCATGCTACCTCACTGATATCAGGGCAGATATGGCTCAGTAGGGGCAGTGCATATGCCAAGGAAAAGAGTACAGGATCTAGAATAAATTAGAAAACTTGACTGGGGTAAATCTGTCACATCAAAGCTTCTCCTGCCACACATATGAGGTAATAAAAAGTATCCTGCAATAAATAAACTTTTACAGAAATACCATAAAGTAAAACAGCTGGGACAGTCTTTTTGAAATGAAAACTTTCAGGGTACTCACCTGGTGGCATTATATTGTTGAACTTCCATTGGTTATTGTATGAGACTGGAACAGTAAATTATTTCAGGTCAAGGAAGCTTACATCAGCATTAATGCAAAGTAAAAGTATAGCCAATGTGACCTAAACATTATCCCTGCAATGGAAGGCTCATTACAAAACAATATGGGGGGAGGGAAGACTAGAGAGACTTTTATTTGCACTAAGACATCATATATATGTGGTCTAATCGCAGATACTTACTTACATGGTTCTTTTGGACTTAAAACAAAGCATCATTTTGATGTCAGCTGCCTACATGTTGTATGCAACTTTGTCAATCAAATCCATAACCAATCAAGTCCAGTGCAAGAAATCCCATTTCCAATTACATTAGGAGTTTTTAAATAGCCTGATAAGCACAATAAATATAATGTGGCGTGTTCTCTCTTTTTAATACATATATATATCAGGGATTCTCAAACTGGGGGTCATGACCCCTCAGGGGGTTGTGAGGTTATTATGTGGGGGGTCATGAGTTCTCAGCCTCCACCCCCAAACCCTGCTTCACCTCCAGCATTTATAATAGTGTTAAATATTTAAAAAATGTGTTTTTAATTTATAAGGGGGGGGGGGTTGCACTCAGAGGCTTGCTGTGCGAAAGGGGTAACAAATACAAAAGTTTGAGAACCACTGATATATATAGATAATATTGATATAGATCATTTAGACCAATGACGACTTGGACAGCTGTTTCCACAATGGATCAAATTCTACTATAGTTTTCCCATTGAGGCAGTCATTATCATTATGAATTTCAAAAGAGAAATGACCATCACCACACTAAAATCCAGCACTGTGCACAATTAAGAATTGAAACACTATGCAAGTAATACTAAGAAAACTGCAGTTTGCACATGCTGGAAAATGTTAGCAGAAACTTCTTTGAATAGCTTATCAGTGTCAGCTGAAATGGTATTATACAGCCTTAAGACCTCAGAAAGCAAGAAAGCTAAGAGGGAGGCTTTCTTAAATGTATTCCTTTTGCTCTTTTAGTAGATAAATCAGGATGCAATCACTACAGATCATCTTTCAGTGGTTGAAATTATATTTAAAATAAAATGAACGAATGTATGTTTGAATACATAAAACCTATTAATACACGTGTGCATATGCCAGATAGGACCATCACCTTTTGATTACTGCCATTAAGATTAGTGGACATTATGGGCCAAATTCATCCATGGTGTGAATTCACTCACTTCAATGGACTAATTTGGACCTGGGTGTTCAAATGGAGGGGAAATCATAGCTCTTTGTTTTCTGATTCTTTCTGTCATCTACTTATACCTACCTACAGAGTTGTGTATTACACAGCTACAAAACAAGTGTGTATCTTCTTTCTTGGGCCTGGGGGGTGTTTGGAAAATAAAATAGAACACTAGTGGGATGCTGTTAAATGAGAACTTGTGTACTTTTCTGTCTTGGGAGAGTGTGTGCGCCCACCCCCGAATCTATATCCCATATGGATGCACCCAACACTCAAAGCAGATACAGGTCTGCGTTTCTGATTGTTATTGAAAATAATGGGGGGGTAGGGGAAGAAAAAATATGCATACACAGAGAAAGAGAGAAATAATGTGTGTACACAAATGCTGTGTTTCACAATTGCTATAAATACAAACAGTGTATTACAACTGTAGATAGGTAGGAGATATCTCTCTGTCTACACACAGCTTCCTTCACCCTCTGGCCCAGCTGTAGCCCTTTAACTGTGTTAAGCTCGGTGCAGCCTCCTCATGCAGCAGTGACCTACTGCCGTTCTCCTCTCCTCCCCCAGCTACAGCCCCACCTGTTGCTCAACAGCTAAATTAAGCTGCCTGGGGAAAAGAACAACTTCTAATTGTGCCCAGCTTGCCCCTATGCAAAGAGCAGCGCTGGCGATCGGCCACGGGCTGCCCCCGCCCCACCGGGTCTTTGCAGCTGCTCTGTGCTTGCTTAGGATGCTGGTGGCTTTTGTGCGCAAGGTCCCCCCCCCCGAGACACGGTGCAAGTTCAAAGCATCGCCTCCCCCGGGGGCGGGTACCTGCTGCTTCCGCAAGGCAGCCAACAGGTAGCCACGCTGCCACCGGCCCGCTGGGTCACCGGCCCCTCCTCAGCCCTGCCCTCCCCCCCCATTCTGCTGCTTCCCGGGGGGGGGGATATTCAGCTCAACCTTCTGTCGAGACTATCGGAGGGGGAAGGGGGACAGCGCATCCAAAACTAGCTAAAGGAGACCCCAACAGCCAGGGCTGGACGCCCCACGCCCCATCAAGCACCAGGGGCCCCCTTTTAACCGCCAGGTGCAAAATCCTCCCGCCTGCAATCTCTCTGCGCCTAATGAGCCGGCTGCCAACCGGCCCGGATCCCCCAGTTCGAGCCCACTGTCCAGCAGCAGATGGGACTGGTTAACAGAATACGGAGATGTGCATAGTCTATAGACACACGCACACGCATTATTGTGTACGCACACATTACTCTTCCTTGCACCGTCCTGTGACCATCACCGCCACACGAATCGAAGCAAATGATGGTCAGAAACCAGCACACAGCTGCACAATCCACACACACACACACACACGCCGCTCTCAGCAGGTTCTGAAGGTTTTCTCTCTCTCACACACACACACACACACAGCCCATATGCTTTCCGTGCAACAAACACCTGACCCCCGGGCTGGCTACTCGCGGTCATCTCCCGCGCCCGGGTCCCGTCGCACGCCCGGGAGCCCCGCCAGGAGGACGCAGAAGGGGGCGAGGGCGCCCCGGGCTCCGTCTCCCCGGGCTCCGTCTCCCCGCTGTACTCACCTCCCCAGCAGGCGCCGCCGCCGCTACGGGTTTTCTCCCCTGGCTCCCTCGGCCCCCCTCCAGGTCGCTGCTGGCCGGGGGGGGCGGTGGTGGTTTATTTTCCTCCGCCCAAGACGAGAAATCTCCGGTCACACGCCCCGCGGGTAGAAAACATGCAGCCCCCGAGGCGAGCACGGGCTTTCGCGGGGTTCCAGCGCTCCCCTTTTCTCGGGGGGCATGGGGCGGGGGCAGGGAAGGAGAGGGGTGAGCCTCGGTGGAAGCCTTGGGATCGATCTCCGGCAGCGGGGCGAGTGGCCCAGGGGCGCCCCGGGGCCGTCAGTGCTCCCTGTCCCCGGGCAGGGCTCCCTTTAAACTCCATTCAGCAGTTGCCTGGTGCCTCCAGCCGCCCATGGCCAACTCACAGCGTCTGCCCTTCCCCGGCTTCGGGAAACGCCCCCCCCCATCCACCTCCTGGGGCTCGGGAACCTGGGCTCAGCCGGCTCCGCTGTGGCTTTCCCCGCTCTGCTGCCAGGCGGCTGAGAAGCGCCTGGCCTCCCTGCACACGCGCACCCCCCGCCCCGGAGCCAGGCAGCGAGCGACAGCTTCCTCCCCTCCGAAGGAGAAGCTGCCCACGTAAAACTCCTGCACACAGGAGCCGTTTCATATTGGACACCTTGCACCAGGGCCCTTGGTAACTCTTTCCTCACCAGCAGGTGAGGCGCACGCCTGCAGATCTGGGGCTCCTGGACTGAGCAGCGGCGGGAGGCCCAGAGAGGCTGGGGAGAGGGAGTGGAGGGGCAGAGGGTGACAGGCAGAGAGGAGAGGGGCCTGGGGGCAGAGATACAGGGACAGAGAATAAAGGGGGTGGGGGACAGAGGGCGAAAGAGGAAAGTCGGGGGGGGTAAGAGGGCTGAGGGGCAGATTAAGAGCGGGGGAGGCAGAGTGATGAGGAAGTGAGGGGCACATTTAGAGAGGAGAGGTGGAGAGGGAGGTGGGGCAAAGAGAGAGTTCGAGGGAGGGAAAGGGAAGAGCGATGAGGATTAAGGGGAGAGACATAAACCACCCAGCCCAGAGCAGCATCCCAGGAGAAAGGAGAAAAAAATGTGGAGGCCCCAAGAGAGAAAAAGAGAGGGAGTCCCCTTGAGGGAGACTCAAGGCCATAGAAAACTCCCAGGGAGAGACTCGCAGCGCCTCTCAAACTGTGGGTCGGGATCCCAAAGCGGGTCCCGACCTCATTTTAATGGGGTCGCCAGGGCCAGCGTTAGATTCACTGCTGATGCCGAAGCCCAAGGGCTTCAGCCCCGGGGTGACAGGGCTGGGACTTGGGTTTGGGCTCCAGCCCCACCTCACCCGGAACGGTGGGTCTTGGACTCCGGCTCTGCCCCCCGGGCAAGGTCATGTAGTCATTTTTGTTGTCAGAAGGTGGTCACGGTGCAATGAAGTTGGAGAACTGCTGGGATAGAGAGTCCAGGGGAATGGGGAGGGAAGGAAATTAGCATAGGCAGTAAGGGTTGCAGCCAGGGGAGGAAGTGACTCTGAGTGAGATGGCTGGAGGAAGATATTTATAGCCAGTCTTATGCTACCACTTTTCTTCAGGCCTCTAATTGGCTAGCAGCACAATTCACTAAACACAGCTTAAGGCCCATATTTGAAGAATTCATTCAAAGACCCCCCCACCTTGCAGAGTCCCAGAGCCACCGGAATTCTACACAGCAACGAAACAGACTTGCAGCGTGAGCCCGAGTCAGCTGGCATGGGCCAGCCGCAGGTGTCTAGTTGGTGTCTGGACATACCCTATGAGAGCTCAAGTTCCTACATGTTGTATAGTTCACTATGGCATATTAACTAGAAATGATCTTAGATATTTATATGGCCCCCTTTACCATAGTATCTGAGCAATGCACAATCTTTAATCTATTTATTCTCACAGAACCCATGTCAGGTAGGTATTATCCCCATTTTATAGATGGGGAACAGAAGCACAGAGACTAAGTGACTTGGCCAAGGTCACACAGGAAGTCTGTGAAAGAGCAGGAATTGAACCCAGGTGTTCTGAGTCCCAGACTAGCACTCAAACCACTAAATCATCTTTCCTGTCTTTAGACCAAAGACTAACTCAACAAATGGGACACAGGCAAAGCCAAACACAGTGCATATTACTAATTTGTCACAATTCTAGATACCTAAGTGCCAAATAATTTTGTTTCTATGAAAACCCACAATCCTTCAGAATAGCTCACAAAAGACATTTGATGGGCTGACATAAGTGAATGTAGAATCAGACACCAGCATTTTTATAAACAAAAGAAAATAAAAGGCATAACTAAACACTGCCACAAGCCTCCTGAATGAACAGGTATGGGTTTCAACACAGACCTACCAGTTACACCCTTACTTCTTGACAATATACAGTGCTCGCTCTCTCTCTGTGTTTATATACAGAGATATTGATGAGGGCAAAGGAGGAAAGATGGTGCCAAATGATCACAAATCATAGTTCCTATCAGGCAGACAGCCCTTTGAAGTGGTTCCAAATTCTCCAAAGTTCTATGGCACGTTCATGCAGGGATAGAATATAAAGGCTACCTTTTCTGCATCTCGCAGTTTATTAAGCATCACCTTAAGATGGAGAGTTATGGCTTCCCAGACACTTTAGATCAGCCAGAAAACACCACTGAGTTTTATGTCTTTTTAACCAGGATATCTGGGATTAGTAGGGTTTCTTTTCCCCCCGTCTCTCCTTTCTTTACTCAGACAAGGAAGGGCACTCTCTCCATGTCTGAAAAGCAGTGACATGGTCACTCTAATGTGACTGAACAGCTGTTTCTTTTTCATTTTCTTCACCATGAAAGATATTCTATACGGTAGCTCCATCCTCATGGGAATGCATGCATGTGGCTTGCTTGGCAAAGCCAGCCGTTCCTTACATGCCTGGGGCCTGACCCCGCACCACTGTCACTCAGAACTCCCATTGAGTAAGCAGTACCCAAGGAACAAAAGAATCAGGGTGCCATAGTGTGATGAAATTAAACTAAAGACTATTTAGGCTGATATCTGGAGAAACGTTCTAACCGGCAGAAGTGGGGCATAGTCGCCACTGGAAACCCACTGTTTGAGCCAACTAGAACTGTGTGCATAGTATTCAGAAACGACATGGAGAGTTTCCAGCAGCTACTAAAACACGTTGACAATCACATTAATATTAAGCAAAGACTGTGTGGCCTCATGGATCATGTGTCATCTTTATATTTCAAGGGTATTTAATTCATAGCCTGTTAGTGTTGTACATTTCCAGTGTAAAAATCTTTCCTGTCTGCTGCCTCTCTCTCTCCAGACTAGTGAATCACTATGTTACCAACACTTCAGACTAGATGAGGCCTTTAAAACACAGTGAATGAGAGCAGGAGATGGTCAAGGAAGGGATCCCGCCTTACCATGCTCCTCACCTGCCCCAGCGAACTAGTTAACCCCGATCAGTTGCTGATTATTGCTCCCTGAGCACTGACCAATACATTGAAGGGGTGGAGCCAAAGCTCTTCTGTGCTCTGCCCACTCCTCGCCCCTGGAGGGAAGGGATATTGGGTGCATGTTACTTATATGCACCTGGGCCCCTGGTCTGGGGAGGCCATGCAGGAGTATGGGGATTCTCTTACTCCTTCGTACATCGCCATAAGGGTACATAAGCCAGACTACAATCCAGCACTGTATTATCTTCATTATATAGTACACATATCCATGTCCAATGAAAACACTTCAATTGTTGATCCACGAACGTAACTCCCACGGATGTCAATGGGAATGGTGCTGATAAACCATAGACCGCCTGTGTTTTCATTACATTTTACACCAGGGTAGGGTTGGAATTCATTGCTTTTTCATTCTTTTGCTTTTCCTTTTTTCTTTGGTTAACTCTTAAAGGGATCAAGCCTGATTTGCTTATATGTTACCCCATCAATTTTAATAGCACTACTGGAATGAGTAAAGCAAGGGTTTGGCCCACTATTGTTCTAATCAATTTATAAGAACTTAATTCCCCCTTTAGGCTTATTTTCCTGCCCATAAATTCCCAAAGATAGTAACCAAATCCCAGCCATCTAGTAGCAAAAGCATCTGCCTTGTGGTTTGAAAATAGTAATCTGAAAATGATTAGAGTTCTATATTTATTTTTTAAATTGTTCACGGACCAGATTCTGATCTCCGCTACACCTACATAAATCCAAAGTAACCCCAGTTACTCTGGATTTACAGCCACAAAATTGAGATCAGAATCTGGTTCTCCCTCTCTTTTACTCCACATCCTTTAAAACATATTACTGATTGTGTAAAACCTTGTGTTTTATAAGAATAAATATAAATTACCAATTTTGTTCCTATATGTGGACACAAATGCTAGCTCTTCATGGCACAAGCACATGGAAATGTGTATTTTTCATTAAGGGATAAAAGTTTCAGAAATCACAAGTATGTCATCTGCATTACGTTTCTGCAAATAATGCAGAGGGAGACAATATAATACCAATGTGACAAAGTAATACAGTGAAAAATTATTGAAGACAGAGAAAGTTGTTGTCACAGGCCTAGCTGCCTGTGGGTAATTGGTGATAGTTGTCACTGTCAGAACTGAGGCATCGCTCTACTAACAAGTGCATCATGGTTTGATGTAATTTGTCATAAACATGCTTCAGATCAGCCAAAACGGTTAATCAAACATTGGGTATCACCCAGTTCAAAGGTGAAACAGCTCAGTAAGCCCATGACTGGAGTGGTGGGTTTTTTTCTTTTTTATCTATGCACCAGCTTTTTGAGCTGCACTTTCTGTGGTAAATCACAGACCAAGCAACACCATGGATACATAGCTATGAGCTATTATTTAACAAGTGACCACCAGTACTAAGAACACACCAGCAGCATTGGCCACACCAGATTAGATCACTGGTCATCCTGCAGCAGAACAAGGGAGAAGCCAAGAGGCAATCAAATCAAGCCAATGTAAAATTTTAGAAAGGACTGACATTTTAAAATGTCTCCCCTTTATTAGCTATGTCATGATTTTATAGATCCATCACATCAAACCGTAGAGATCTTTAAATGGTCAATCTTCCATTGAAATCAGTAGGAGTTTTGCTCAATTGAGAAAATTAAAACTGGAAAAGATCCATTAGGTCCACCTAAGCTATCAACCTTCCAGTGCAGAATTGTTCCCTTCAATATACTATGTGTTCTTGTCCTCCGTCCACTCCAATTTTAAATGTCCCAAGAAGTGTAGGTTCTAAAATTCCTTTGGGAGAGTTCACGAATACTTCATAGCCTAATAGGTCTCACAATTAGAACATGTTTTCTGACTTTTTTTTTTGCTGGCTTTCATCCCATTATTCCTAATTAAACTGCTGTGCACCATCCCAAACAACTGCTACCCAGCCTGGATATTTATACCCTTCTAACCATGGTTAATTATTCCAGAGGCAAATTGTTCTTAAACTTTCTCCTTTATTTCATTTCTTTGTTGGATGATTTATTTTGAAGTTTAATGGGCAATTTTTAGAGCTAAATAGCTA